TGCCTCAAGCAAAAGAGAGGATTCTCCCAGTCCTGGTTGAATAATGCACGTTTCCAAAAACAAAAGCTACAAATCAATAATTTGCAACGAGACAAAAGATATCTTGAGTTATATCTCATTAAAAACTCCTTTTCAATGTTCAGGTTATGTAAATGCTCTTTTAACATGGATTATTCTATCAGCTGTAGCACTTTAAGATTAGTTTGATAAGTGTCGTACAATATTATAACAATTCTAGGACCACTAGAAGGACAAGGTGGTCGGGATGACCCGACTTTGCTCGCAGCCATAAACAATATTCCAAGTGTGACACTTCTATAATCTGTTCCCATCACCTGTAGAGTTTAGGCTCATCGATAATGTGTAAGAGAGGAGTGATAGTCCCTCACAGCTCAATAAAATGTCCCCCTCTCACTTGTATATGCTGGAAAGAGCAGTAGAACAGTGTGATCTGAGTGAGCCGTGCCGGTCATGCTCCACACTGTCAGAGCAAATGGAGGCATAATTACACCGATAAGTTGTTGCCCTGTGGCTAAAAACATCTTATCACTAAACAGCTGAGACAACATTTGTCTGAAGGGGAACGTGTAATTGGGTACAGGGTTACTGTTGGAGAGATGTTTATTCAAATACAACAAGTATCCTGCTGTGAGCATCCAGGGCTTTCTCAGATTGTTCTTTTAAGTTAAATACGTGCTGTTGTGCCCTGACACGAGCTAAGTTGGCTCGTACCTCAGGCTCACAGCAAGAAGGCTGTGGGTTTAATCCCTAGGCTGGACCAAGGGTCTGTGTGGAGTTTGCATGTTTATCCCTGTGTCTGGTTGGGTTTCCTCTGAGTCTAGACCCTCCGTTTCCCCCCATTACCCAAAATGCATAATGTATATAGGATTTAGGCAAAAGAGTAAAAAATGTGCAATATCCTTAAATATATAAGACATATTCTTTCACTCATCTGCTTGATACTTTGACCAATCACACACAGTCTTAAATGAGCGTCTCGCATGCGTTCATTGGCCGGACTGAGTGCACAAACTACTGTGAAAATAAGAGTAGTTAAAAAAAATTCTGAAAACACTACAGTTCTGAAATGTTGGACTTAGGGTTCAGGAGACAATGTTACAGAAGCAAGAAATGCGAACAATTTGGTGGTTTCATCAGACCATTCTTGGCCAATGTGGGATATACTGTATTGACCGTGCATGTGACGTTCCGGCCACGCCCACTCTCCATGACAGACGGCGGAAGTCTAACTGCGAGCCTACCTTATTTTAATAGATTCATGGAGTCTAAGGACACCTGACCAAAACAACCTGTTTCACCGAATTACAGCCAAAACTGTGATATTTTGCAGTGCGGTTGGTTGTACTAAAAGGCAAGGACATAAGCCAAATGTGTCTTTTTATCTGATACCTGCTCGTCATGAAGACAGAAGACGACGATGGCCTCAATCAACCAAAAGGACTGGGACCCATCCAAGTACTCCCTAATATGCAGTGAACACTATTTACAAGATAGAGCAATCACAAGTTTGTATTTATTTTATTTCCATTAATTTGGAGGACAATGACACAAGTCAAACGTGTCTCTTACTACTGTCCTGTACAGGTATGTGCGCTGCAACATTGAAATTTCCCCACTGTGCCACGAATAAAGGGAATAAAGGATCTCTTATCTTATCTTAGACGTCAAATGCGTGTTTCACTATTTTCCTCTCGGTCAATATGTATCATGTTTGGCTGTAGACAGAAAATCCACAGAAAAGTGGACTATTGCTAATGCGCAAAATGTACATATAAATCTGCTCCAGTGTAAGGGGATGCATTGTTAACGATAATGATAAAGATCATGTAGGGTGAATCGATAAACTTGACTGGGGGGAGAAGGTACGGGTCAACATCCAGTTAGGCGATCCTTAACTTCTCCAAATACCACTCTTTGTGAGCCCTGACCTGATGTCCTACTTCCACCTATAACGTAATTGAACATGTGCTTGAAGCAGCCACTTCTCGATTTAAGAGAGGAAGCTCCGTTTTTAAGAGTTTTGTCCGTTTTGCTCTCGCAGCAATGCTAGTTTCCAATACTTCCGCCGTAAGCTCATTCACAATCACGTGACTGGATGACGTCGATGCATCTGGTCAATAGTACAGTAGATGTGTGCTCAGAGATGTTACTGTGTCAGTGATTTTTTCAAGTCTTCAGCAGACACTAGGGTTCTTTGTTACCTCATGGAGAATTCTGCACTGAACTTCCTCTAACTGTGGATGGATGAACATCTAGACTTTTAGAGATGGTTCTGTAACCTTTCCCAGCTTTATACAAATCAACAAGTCTTGATTGCAGGTCTACAGGGAGCTCTTATGAGCCAGGCATGGTGCACAGCAGGAAATGCTTCTCATCAAGAAACAATTCTCATCAGAAGTGTGTTTTAGAGTGGGCAGGGCAGCTGAAAACCACTCCTCAGTGATTGGACACACACCTGACTTATATAATTGCTTTCAGTCTTCTTTAAGGCAGACGGTTCGGTTACTTATTCCTATCCGTCCCCCTTCTGTGATTGTTTTCATGTTATCCTCATAAAAAATATGACAACCAATATGAATGTCTGGATGGTTTTAGTTTAGGCAACACTGTTTTTCCACTGTGATTCTGTAAAAGATCAGATCACATTAGATGGTAATTTAATGCAGCAATGTGAGAAATTCCAATAGCTTGAGATGGTTTTCGCGGCCACTGTACAGTATATGGCTTCTGCAAGGCAATCTAAAATAGTTGAAAAGCCGGTATAAACATATACGAGTACATTTATCACTTCAGTAACAGAATGTTTCACCTCAGAATTCCTGTATTGCCTGAATGCATCACATGTTGTTTTCTTAGTGAGAACAATCCTAACAAAGTGGTAAGAGGCCCCACAACGGCTTTCCCCCTTCAGTCTCAACTTGTGCACAAGATGTTCCAGAAGTTGCACAAAGAGACACGCTCACCAAAGCACCAGCTCCAAAGTGTGTTCTTTGAAAGTCTGTGCTGAGAACACATGAGCGAAGGTGTCCATTTGCTGAGGAACTGCTTGCCTCCTGCTCTTGAAAGGCTTTTAAAGAGCATGGCCATGGGGCTAATTGTTGCAATTAGACTGAGATCTTACAGCAGACAGCTTCACATAAGTGAGAGTGAGAGACATAAATGACATAATATAGAGAAAATGGATGTTCCGTGAGAAGACAAAGAGTGTACTTTATTTGTGAGACGCATGAAGCAAAAGTCACAATTTATTTATAGAACTTAGGAAGGTTTCTCACCCATCATCTGTACTTCTTAGCAAGTTTTTGGGGAAAACTTGATAAGAAGTACAGATGATGGGTGAGAAACCTTCCTTTGCTTTGACTAATCCCTGTACGACTGAGAGCTTACACAAATTTATAGAACTTAGTATTCTTATTAAAATACATGAAAATAAGAAGGGAGGTATGTATCTGTCTTGCCACATGCAACTTATAAACCACATATTCTTCACAGTTACTTGAATATCCTTGAATTTAGCAATTTCTTCAAACACTTTTTAAATTGAGTAAAGAAGTTTGATGTATTATTATTATTATTAAAGTAAATGGTGGCGTCTGCTGTAAATTGCTCGTTCTTGAGCAATATCTTGCCATTCCGGTGATGGCATCTATAGCGACATCACTGGAATTGGTTCTCATTAAATAATGTTTTTCAAACTGTTTCGACATCACTCACTCACACAGGTAGATTCTTCCTTCACTGATGGCATTAATTGTGTGTGGGTGTGCGGCGTGTGTGACATCCTGTGGTTTCATTTTGCTTTGCTGTAGAACACCTCTGTGCTCTGCAGGGCATGTCTCACCTGTGAGTCTGGTTCTGACCCCATAGAAAAGTGGTCTATAGCAGGAGGCACGAGGACAACAGCAGGAGGAACTTTTGGAGCAGATTCTTGACCTTTTGTGCCTTTATCTTTGTTCCCTCTCGCACACACTCAGAGGAGCATCTGCCAGTAGCTGTATGTACTGTCCGCAGAGCTCCACTGGACTCTGTACAAGCCGAAAAGAGCGGTTGTCTCCTGCCGATCTGTTCATAGACAAGGATATTTCTGTGGTTGTAAATGAAACTTTCTTACTAACTTGATTTGAACCCATTTTCTTTTCATCAATCTTCCTAGGTGAAGGCTGGGAACAAAATGATTCCTGTTGATGAACAAATTGTTGTCTAAATAGAAATTCCGCACAGCAGTTTTTGTATAATTGTTTTCTAAGCGTAGCCCTTTCTTCACAGCACATTTTGTAAAACTGTAAACTGAGAAATTGGTTGTACATGTGATGAAACAATCACACAGGGTTATTGCTTCTACGGTAACACAAGATTATCACCAAGTAGCTCAGATCATAAATATGGCTTTTATAATGTTAAAGATTGTGTTCAATGCCAACAGGTTGAATGGCTCCCTTTGCAGCAGCAGCAGCAGTCGGTCAGCTCTTCCTGCTCTCTGTCTTGTGCTGCCAGTGCAGAGCTATTACACACTGGAGGGTCTGTCTCAATCACACCGAATGGCTATGAATTTTAAATGCAGGATTAGGGCCCGCAGAGAAGCAGACAAATAGGAGAAATGCATTCTGTTGAGGGATAATTGTATTTTATTTTTCTACAAAAAGCTGTGGTAAAAACAATGTTAGAGGACACAATGTCTTGTTTATGTAAAACCTTTGGATTTGACTAAAACTGTTAACAGAAAGGGTTTTACTTTTTAACTGAATGAGAAAGCCTCTTCTCAGGGAAATACCAAAAATTAGGTATTTTTGTATGATGTTTCATACTTTGCACACTGAAGGGCGCACAAATCAATTCATCCATATCAATCAAATATTTCATCAGTAAAATTCCAACCCTAAAAAGGCCTGGATCGCTACATTCCTCGGTGCACACTCATAATTTTTCGCAGCTCCGAGCCTCCCTTGCAGCCGTTCATCATGCGGTGTTTGTGATTTCAGGTGCAGATGTGGACGAGGCCTCTCCGTATGAACCTGTGGCTCCAGTGCAGCCTTCAGAAGAGTTCCGCTTGGCCTCCATCTCCTCAGGTACGTATGGGGCTTAGGCTGAGCTCGGCACAATCAAAAAGGTTAATTTTGTCTTGAGTTAAAATGTTTTGTTTCTGGTTCTTTTGAAAGTCAAGTTAGGTTGAAATGTTTCGGCTGAATAGCTTCGATCCATCTTCAGAGCTCAGGTTGAGGTTCAAGTAATGCATCTAACTTGTCTTTTAAAAAAACAGAACAAAAAAACATGTTCAAATCATCATGTATGGTATTATCCGAGATTGATTCCAGTGTAAAATGTTATGTTTAAAGTAGACTCATCAGGTGACAAGTCTGATGAATGATTGACAGCGATAGCTTGAGCACAGTGGGAATGACCTACCCCTCGGTCCAAATCACCATAGTGATTAGGATTATAAATGGAAACATTCTCTTCATATAGTTCTTTTGTTTCTCCAATCTAGCTGAACACACAGGAAAGCTTATCCTACTTGTTTTCTTCTGATCTTGAGCATATATTGCTATAGGGAAGGGTGTGGAATGTGGTATTTGCAACATTCATGGACATTGGTCAACTCCCCCTATGGACCAATGCCTCTGTGTTCTGTACCTTTGTGTTTGAACTGGTTGATTCTCTGATCCGTGTGGGCAATTTCAACGGTTTTGTTGAGGCCTCTGAGATAACTACTGTTGTGATTTAGGGCTATACAAGAATAAATTGAATTGAATTTGCGAAAAGAAAAACTTGTTACCTATTGTCACTATAAACTGTACTCACCAGAAGACCACAGTGAGTCTTGTGCAGAGGATGCGGCTGATAGACTTAGACGAGTGGATGTCGTGAGTGCTGCTGAGCTAAACGACATAATCCTGGAGTATAGCTCTTTACCAGTCATTGATTTTTCTCCCAGATTGATTTCCTCTTTGCTTCTCTAATTAAACAGCCCAGCGCTCAACAGGGGAGCTAACGCTATAGCATCTGATTTATTGCTTATCACCAATGTGCCATGATTCGTCAAAGGAAACTTGCAAGAACAATAAGACACAGAATGACAGTGGTCGGCAGTGAGACAGGCCAAGATCTGGAATTCAATCAAAGATCCTGGAAACAAAAACTCCATCTCGTGTGTTTTTGATTCTGGACAAAGGCAATCTACAATCTATGTTTCCCTTTGTCTCGGGGGATGTGTGTCAGTTGGTTTGTGTTTTAACTGCTGCATATAAAACAGATTTATGTATAATGTTCTCAGTTATACCACAGTCTATGATTTGTTTTTGAAAAAAGTATTTGAGAGAATACATTTGGGAGAATAAAGATGACTGAAATAGAAGGTCAAGGCATTTATTCTGTGGCAGGAAAAACAATAAAGAATTACTTTTTTATTTGAATTTTTTATTTGATGAGTTGAACACCAAAAATATTGGGTTCACTTCAATTCTACTATACTTCCTCACATGACGCCCTACTCCTACACCGCCTGCACCTCCTACACCTCCTACACCGCCTGCACCTCCTACACCTCCTACACCTCCTACACCTCCTACACCTCCTGCTCCTCCTGCTCCTCCTGCTCCTCCTGCTCCTCCTGCTCCTCCTGCTCCTCCTGCTCCTCCTGCTCCTCCTGCTGCTCCTGCTCCTCCTGCTGCTCCTGCTCCTCCTGCTCCTCCTGCTCCTCCTGCTCCTCCTGCTGCTCCTGTTTAACCCCAGATGAAAACTGACCAGAGCTTTGTCCTGCGCTGCACTCTGGACTTGGTACAACAAGAACTCTGCTCTCCCTGCTCTTGTTTATTTACAGAGTTTACCTGAAAGGTGCAGATGTTATTCTTGAGCAGCACATTTTAGAACATTTTACAAAAGTGTGAAATGTTTAAAAAAGGAAAATTGGCATATTTTTCCTAAACAAAGGTCTGTGGTTGTTGTTTTGGCAGCTCGAATAGATTAGCTACATACATAAGTACATGTTCATGATGTTCATGTTGATAGTGTCTCTAACCGTATTACATTATTTAAATGTAACCCTGCCCCAGCAATAGATTACAATATTACAACGGTTAGAAGTATGATTTTTAGTTTTAGTTTAGAGCTAATTTATCTGTAATTCCTGGGCCAGTCCACTTAAAACACAAAGTCCCACATGTTCTTTGTCGTCTTTGGTCGATTTATGTTTACAAAAGGGTTTCTAGAAGTATTGCTTATTTGACTCTGCTTCAACTGAAACAACTTCTAGAACACGTACCTAACCTATTCCACCTTAAGAGAAGCTGTCTGCTGTACATGGTGTACATAGATAGCTTTATTAATCATTTGACATGCACTGGTACAGCCATTGAAATTGTGTCAGCAACTTTTTTCCTTTGAGCATATGAGGCAGGAGAATCACCCATGTATCACAAACTCAGAAAGCAAATCCACAAATGTATGTTTATCTTCGTATTTGCTTACTTGGAAGGAAAATAATGGTTTCTGTCCCTTAAAGTCCATGTACACAAAGCACTGTTAGATTAAATCACAACCATACGGATAAGTAATTACACCCTTGTTATACGGTTGTGCTGCTCAGCTTCAAAACTGTACTTTCCATAATCCCATTTGTAAAGTCTGTGGAGAGGCCCAGGGAATATGTGATACCAGGGCGTCTGATGAGGACTGGGATATGTGCACCTCTGAACGCTAGGCTTGGGAATTGAAAAATCTCTTAGTATTTTAGAAAGTTTTAGCTGCTGCAGAGATAAGGGGCAGAAGTTGTGATAGCAAATGTAAAGTTTTGTTCCCCTGCATACAGTCACAAAACAATGCCACAAAAACAAGTTATTCTTTTAACTAGATACATTCAATTATTTTATTTTCAAAGGCCATTCGTTTTCATTTATCTGTTATGCAATGATTCTTTTTATTCATTTCAGACACCACTTTAACTAACAGTGCTGCTTTTACCTCTCCACACTGCAGCAAAAGCTTTTGTAAAACATGTGTGTTTCTTGCAAACTCCTTCATATGTGTTTTCTTACTACATTATGAACACGTTAACACCAACAGACGCTGGAATCAATGAATAAGATTACAAATAATATAGAAACAAGCCCATATGTCTTGTTTTACATTCAATTGTTTTTTAATTTAATTTCATTACTTTCAAGGGAAGTTTATGCATATTTTAATTATGTTGACCAGGAAAGGCTTGCGATCCACTTAAAATGATCCCACGACCCACCACCGCTTTATGGGAACTCTGACTTGTTTGGTAACTGCTTGTTGCCATTATTTCATATAGAGTGAGTGTGTGTTCTTGCAGCTTGAGGCGAGTGGCATCCAAACTGAATGGGAGCAGAGTGACAGCAGAAGGCCTCTTCCACTGAGCAGCAGAGAGGTGACATTTGAGTCGACTCCTCTCCATACTAAAGCAGGTTACAGTCAGAGTGGAGTGTGACAGTGCAGGCTACTCTTTCTGCATTTCAAATCTCTGCATATACTCCAACTGCCACTACGAAAACGTATGGCCTGATTTACCACAAGGGCTGAAGATAGGACACTCCACTTTGAAACACTCGTTCAACGCCACACCATTCTCTGTGTGCATGTGTTAGATGTAGAACGGCATAGAGCGCCACAGGAGCCACATTCATCTGCTCCTGCAAAAGAAATTAAAAGATTAAATACAGTGACAGTCAGCCACATGCCTCAGAGGAGGTCATTAAAGAGAAACAAAGACACTTCACTACGGATGTTTTATCAACTTCTCACACAGTAACCTCAAAAGAAACCATCCAAACTGGAGGAAAGGAAATCTCATAAATGTCCATTCCTTACTCTAAAAAAACCATTTGAGTTGTGAAATTCTAATCAACTCAGATGATTCTGGAGATCAGCCAAACCAAACAGAGCAGTGTTTTCACAATGCCCCACAGCAGCTGACTTCTTCCTATTTTTATGATATGTGTTTTGTGTTTGCTTTTTTTGCGTAGTTACCTGTACGTTACCTTGGAATTGACAAAACATCATTCCTGAAGGACACAGAGCAGCAGTGCATTCAAACACTCCCTCCTCAGTCTACAAGGACGTACCAAGGGCTGACTGAATACTGTATTACATCCTGTCTGCAAAGATATCATTGAGTGTAATTGTTAATATGCTCCACATGAAATGCTGCCATTTCTTTTGACCCAGCGCTCAGCTAATTAACTTATTAGGAGCAGAGGGCAACAAAGAATCCGGCATCAGGGTCCCTTTAGGCACTCACTTTAACATCCCTTAGTTAGACCTCCTAACTCCAAGCATAAGCCTCTCACCTCTGCTCAGTGTGCCCACCATCCAATTAAATCCAAAAAAGCTATTTCTACAGCAGCTAAAGGCACTAGTCTAACAGTCGTGCTCAGCATGCTGCTCAAATGTTTGACATTTTAATATTGTGCTCATAACAAATGCTACAAATGTAACGTGCATGGGCATGTAAATGTTGATGTTGTGTCAGGTTTATCCTGACCACTGATTGCTTAAGAATGCAGCTGTGGTTGTGTGCAGTAGTATTACGTTGTTTACGTGATTCATTATCCTATGTGAATGTTCTTTTTCTTTAATACTCTTCCCCAACGTGTCTCTCAGTGGGTCTGTAATGAGGGCCAGTGTTTGGAGCTCACTTATCAGAGAGCTTTTGTAATTGTCAGCATTTTCTAACTTTGAATTAAACGGCAATGAATAATCTACATCGCAGCGACTCGCCTGCACTTCAGCACCAGGGAGACATGCTGATTATAGACAGAGAGTACTCTACTGTCTCTGTTCACTGCATTCAACTCAGGTGTTTTTCATTTACTATATGATATTATTATCTGACTGGATTTAGCATCTTTTTCCAAGAGGCATGAACTATGAATGTCCAGAGTGTTGGGGATACAATACTTTGGACATTTCCCAACATCTTGCTATCTCACAACACCCACCCATTTATTCTCACGCAGTAAATAATTAGAGTCCTCTCAAAGAGACCATCTGCAGGGCTCTTTTGCCTGTTTTTGTTCTGTTGGACCTGTCTCACCAAACAGTGTGT